AGCGGCGGGGCCCTTGGGGGGGGGGGGAGACTGCGTGAATACCACCCCCCACCGCCCGGGGTGGCAGGAGGAGACCCAGCCTCCCCGAGGCAGGCGATCCATCCCTTCCCTGACTTTCCACAGCGACCCAGATACCACCAGCTGCCTGGAAACCTGTCACCTCTGACCCTACTGAGTTCAGTGGAGGCCCCCAAAGAGACGTTTTAGCCCCTTCCCCATATCCCCCCACTTTTTAAAATTGGACTGAGGCACAAAAAGGGAACATAACTATGTAAGGACCCAGAGAATCTGTGAGTCAGTCTGTGAGGTCAGCAGCTGGAAAGCAAGGACTGGCCCTCAGGTCAAATAGAGCTGCCACTGGGCAGGAGCCCCAGATAGAGAAACACAGTGGCATCCGGTTCACTTCCGCCGCCCTCAGCAAAGTTTGTACATATTTAAGTAATAATAAAATACATTATTCCAAAGTGTCCTATTGCCCTTTCTCCTAGAGAATCCAAGTCCATAAAAATGACATTTCCTCGCCATGGGACCCATATGGCTGTTTGGCCACAGTGTCTGGGAGATAAATTTCCGGAAAGACACAACGTCCCGAACAGAAGCCTGAAGTCATCAGGCTCTCCAGGAAAGGTGGTTCCCTCCGGGAAATAGCTGCGGGGACGGGGAAGTTATCTGCTGGAAGTCCCTGAGATATTGTCTGACAGTTGAAAAACGGAGGCCCGGAGAGGGTGGGACTTACCTCCAGGTCTTCTGACCCGTTTGTGTAGTGTTCTCATAGACCTTGCATTTTTAACAGGCTCCACTATTTTCAGGTAGGACAGCAATTCTGGCTATAAACCAACTGTGATGGTTTTCACATATTAACAGTTTTTACAAACACTTCCAGTTGTTGATGATGTAAGAGATATCTCCCCTCTCCCAAGCAGTTCCAAGGTCCCAGTGTCTCCTGCCTAAACTAGATTAGCAGAACCCAGAAGACCTTTTGGACTCTGGGTTAGAGCTAAGAACAGGCTAGGTGTGCCTAAGAACAGGTTATTGCTTGATGGCTATAGGCTGACATCCCTTCCTCTGGTGGGAGACTGTCCTCCACCTTACACTGCCTGCATCATTCACCAAGGGCCACACACACTGAGCCCTGGGCCAGCAGAGACCTGAGCTCAGGCCAGTAAGACCTGGATGGAAATCTGCTCCTCTTCTGACTCTGTGCGTGGCTGTGGACTAGTTCCTTACCCTTGCTGAGTCTCAGTTTTCTCATATGTAAAGTGGAGATGCCAATCACCCTCCTTGCAGGGGTTGTGATGCTGCAGAAAAAGTTCGTGGAGAGCAAAGGAGTCACCAAAGGACAGACATTTCCTGTTTTAAAGAGGAAGTGATGGCACCAGTCAGGGGTTTCCAGGTGCTGGGCTGGGGGAGCCTCATGCTGTGGGTCGAGACCTTCCTGAGGAGGGGGAGGGGTAAACAGCGGAACAGAGTGGAGGACCTCCTTTGTCTTGCCCAGAGGCCCATGGTGGGGGTGGGGCAGGCTCAGGTGTAGAGAGGCTCAGGGCAGCAGCAGGAAAAACAGGGGATAAGCTCCTTCTGCCGCTGCTTCCATCAGTGTCCCTGTTAATCAACAGTATCCTCAGCACCCACGCTGGTACCCTCAGGGACCGGGTAAGCTCCTGAGAGCTTCCAGGTGAGCCGGTGAAAATCAGACTCCCAGTCCCCCAAGTGTCACTGCTACATGCAAAATCTTCACCTGTCCAGCCATCCCACCTACCATGCCAGCTCGGATGTCACCCCCCAAAATTCCAAAACATCACCAGCTGTCTAGTCAGGGTTCCTTGATCATAAAGGACATAGATCCATCCGGGCTACATCAAATAATAACAATTACATTTATTGGGTACTTACTATGTACCAGGCACAGTTCTAAGCCTTAGATATCTATCTATTGGTTCATTTAATCCTCATATACACCCTATCAATTGGTTACTATTATTTCCCTCATTTTACCTATGAGAAAATCGGGCACAGAGAGGTTAATTAACTTACCCAATGTCACACGGTAACTTATAAATAAATTCACTGATGTGAGAACAAGCAGGAAATTAGAGTGGGCCAGAAGATGGAGACAAAGTCAGGAGCTAAGGTTGCCACTGGCTGGCCCTCAGTCTCCTCTGTCCGTCTCCACTTCTCTCTGCCTCCTTTGTCCTTCTGCTTGTGTCTGGCCCAATACAGCACCCCATGCACCCACCCCACCCCACCCCCCCACACACAGGATTTTCCCGTTCAGGTGCCCACCATCGCCTAACTTGTTCCTAACTCACTGAATGAAGAATCTGATTGGAGAGTCAGCCAGTGGTGGTGTGGTAAACGTTTAGCAACTGACTCTGAGGAAAACGAAAGATCAACCCTAACGAGGATTTACTGGCTTACGTAACAGGACGGTGCTGGGGTCAGGACAGCTTCAGGGCTCGATGATGTGCCTCCGGCTCTCCACCTGGCTTTGTTCAGACTCAGCTTCGTCCTCGGGCTCCTGCAGCAGCAGCAGCTCCAGCCTCACAACCTCCAGCTAGTGCTGAGATCGAGGGGACCAAGAAGTCCCCTGCACACACATCTTCCCCAAGGGGGTCACTGTTTTGATTGCCTAGGAGGGAGATGCAGGAACTCCCCCAGAGTTTATCAAGGCTGGCCCTGTGCTAGCCGCCTCGTGGAAGAGAAAGTGACTCAGCCATGAGCCACCATCGGGAACTCACTCCTCTGAGCCCTCATGGTCCTTGGCTGCGAGTGATGGACGCAGGAAGGGCCATTTCCCTTCTTCCCCGAGTCTTGGGGGGGGCGGGGGAGGGGAGAGGAGCAGTGGAAAGGTGCCCCCCAGCCCCACCCTCGCACAGAGCACGCCACACACCGCCACCACCCGGCTGCAGGTACAGTTTATTCTTCACAACAGAGAAATACAAAGAGCAGAGGGTTTGGAATTCCTTTGTTTCTTGCCCCCTTTAGTGTGTTCCCCCACGTTTGACTTTTTTTGCTCCCCACCCCTTTCCTTCAATATAACGCACACTTCGTTCCTGAAGCCTTGAGGGGCACCTGCCCTCACCTCCCTGCCACCACGATGCAGACTGAGAAGCCAACAGACTGTTTTCTCTTTTTTAATAAGGTAACTAGTTCTAAATATGGTGGCCTGGAGGTCCCATAGAAAAAAGCAAAGGGGTGTTAACAGTATGTATAACAGCGTATTTACAGGGTAGTAACATGCGGACAAAAAGCTACAATACTGAGTATCAGACGACGCCAGTCAAACAAAGGGGTGGGGGCGGGGCAGAGAACCCCGTGGGAAAAGAAACCCCAGGAGACGTTAAACTGGTAAATCAATGGCGAGTTAAGGCTTAAAAAGTGTATAAAAATAACACAGTTAATATTCAAAACGGAACTCCAGATACAGAATATATAGATGAGTTTCTGTCTAGTTTTCTTTTTTTTTTCCCCAGGGGATGTAGGGGGGCTTCTCCGGGCTCTGTACATGGTTCCTATATACACGGACACGCATGGCTTTCAGATTGGGGTGTGTCTGTGGGAGCTGAGGGCAGGGTCTGCTCCCGGGACCCTCCTCCCCGAGGATCCCTTCCCTGCCCAGGGGCTTAGGGCCTGGGCTGGGGATTCCCCTCCATGGCAGGGAAGACAAATAACCCCTCCTTGGGCACTGCCCCATCTGGAGGAAATTCTGGAGAGGGGGGTCCTTGCCCCAGGCCCACTCCCTCCCCCTGCCCACAGTCTGGGATGGTGGGAGAGGTAGCCAATAGGTTTCTTGGCCAGCACCGAGGTAGACTGGGGTGGTCTTCAGGGCAGCAGGGGTGCCAGGTCTTACCCAGCCCACCCCACCCCGTTTCCCTGGGCCTGCACCCAGCCCAGCCAACACTGCACCCTTTGGTCCTGTGGACCTCCCGGCCCCTCTCATTGCGTCTCCTGAAGACTGGGTAGCCCTGGTAGCTGCCACATCCCTCTGCTCAGTGATGCCCAGGGCGCAGCTCTGGAGGCTTGAGCTGGCACCCAGGGGCAAGCGGCTCACTCCAGCTGCCTCCTGCCCCTCCCACCTGGGGGCCCCCTTTGCAGTCCAGAAACCCAGGCTTGAGCCTTCCCCTCAAGACCTGAGGCCGTGGCAAGATAAGGTCCCACGCTGCCCTCTGGTTCTCTGTGTCCATCTGTCCGGTTCTTTTAATTTCTCGGTCTTAGCAGCACCAACTTCTTGGCCAATAAATATCTTTTTTGTTATTTCCAAAACAAACTTAAAAAAAAAAAAAATAAAAAGAACAGTGAAGCAAGTGAAGGGTGGGGAACAAAAGGAAAACCCAGCAGAGAGGTTCAAAGTGCTCTGAGATCGTCTTTGGATGCCACCAAAACAGTCCAGAATCTTGCAGTTGGCCTGGCCGCCTCCGGAGCTGGACCGGGCAGGGCTTCTGCGGCCCAGGCTTTCTGGAAGGTCAGGAAGGTCGTGAGAGAGCTCGGCTGTTCCTGGAGGGCCCCTGGAGGGAGTCGGGGCCTGGTGCTGCCTGGGTCTGTGTCTGCCAGTGGGCAGGGCGGGGCGGCGCCTTGCGTCGGCTCAGATGAGGGAAATTCGCACCGGGATGCCGGGGGACTCCGTCCTCTGGGGCGAGTGATGGCTCACCAGGTGCTCCACCACCGTGTGTTTGGACATGTGCTTCATCAGGTAGGTCTCCTGTGGGCGGGGTGAGATTCAGAACTTACAACCAACTGCTGGCAAGGGGGTGCAGGGGGAGCTGCAGTTCCCACAAGTGGCCACTGGAGGGCTCCTTGGTAGGTGGGCTGGCTAGGGATGAACAGCCACAGCTTTGGGGGGTCAGATGGGCATCAGCATTGGTTCTAGGGATGCTGCATCTCTGCCAGCAGTGGGGGCTGGCGTATTTACCAGAGTCCGAGCCCACAGTGTGCTGACTAGAGAGCTGGCAGGCACCAGGCTCACCCCACAGCAGTGCCCACCTAAAACTCCCTAGGGCCAGGCCAGCTGCTGTCTACCAACTGGCTGCAATGGAGTCCTGTCCGATTGAGCATAGCTGCCCCCATATGGCTGGTTCTCCCAGTGGGGTCGAAGCGGTAGGCCTCAGTTGACCCTGGCTCTGCCATTTCTCAGCAGTGGAATGCTGGACAAGCCTCAGTTTCCTCCTCTGCAGGCAGGGATGGGGAAGGGACAACCTCAAAGGGTTGCTATGGTGATGTGGGTAAAGCTCTTAGCATGCAGTAGGGTTGAGGGGACCACTGCTTCCCTAGTCTCTACATTTCGTTCTAGGTGGTGATGGGAGCCCCGGCCTCTGCACCCCCATGCTCCATCCCCCTTTGGGAAGAAGTGGGGCCTGATCTGATTGGTGACTTTGGGAAGCTTAAACTGGGCATGCTCACCTCATCCCCTGAGCACTGCCACAGACTCTGCTAAGTCTGACCTGAGGCACCCAAGACTGGGTAGGCGAGGTGACCCAAGGCTCACCTGCAGGCCCACAGGCTTTCACACTAAGGTGGTGCTCTGGTTCCCACCTGCCACTCCTTGGCCTCATACCTCAGCTTGCTCAGAATCCGGCAGAGGAAGCCCTCAAATGTGGTGGCAAAGCGCTATCAAACAACAGTGAAGGGCAGCAATCAGCAAAATCCAAACTAGGAAACTATTCAATGAGTAAATTGCAAAGAAAAAAAAGGCAGTGGTGTTGAGGTGGGGTGGAGGACCAATAGTTTAAAGATATATTGACCCAGTGCAATGTAAGAATTTTATTTGGATCTTGATTAAAAAATAAAATTTATAAGTAAATAAAATTATAAATTACGGCATCCATGAGACAAATGAAAATGTGAATACCACCTGGGTATTTGACGATATTAAGGACTACGGTGAATCATTTTAAGGTATTACAAAGGTACTGTGGATAAGTTCAAAAAAGCAGTCTTTATGTTTAAAGACACAAAGTGAAAAATTTTCAGATGGAACAATGTGATGTCAGTTTTACTTCAAAAAACAGGGATATGGATGAGGCAGGATAGACTGATGCCAGGCTCTGGGGGCTGATGGGAACACGAGGGTTCACTATTCTAAAATGTTTCTTTTATGTATTAAAGTAGTTTAAAAGTCAATCCATTAATATGTTTTTTTTAAAAAAGGTAATTATTCTTGTTCTGTGGAGCCCAGTCAGGCCCAGTTCAGGGTGGGGCCTCAAGCCAGGTCAGATGTGACAGCCCCTTCCCCCCAGAGTTCAGATCCCCTCTAAGAACCATGGCTGTGACCGCTGGCGGCCCCTCCTCTAAGAGGGGACGCATATAGGAAGGTGCAATCCATGCGCCCCTCTCTAGCCAAAATGAACTTTCAAAACTACCCTCCTGGACAGTCCCCTCCCCATGGGTCCCCACTCCACCGGGAAAAACATCCAGACTCCCTAACAGGGACCGACAGCCTCGTGTGACCTGATTTTCCTTCAGTTCCTGGAACATACCGCGACTGTTCCACGTCAGGGGTGTTTGCAATCCCTGTTCCCCTGCACGGGAAGTCCTTCCCGCTCCACTCGTCCTCACCTGGCCAGTTACCTTCAAGGCTTCCTCTAAATGTTACTTCCTCATACACCTATCCCAACCCATCTCCCTTCCCCAACTCCATTTTGTCCTCCCTGCAGCTGCCTTTCAAAACATGTTTCCCTTTTTTCATTTACAGCAGTGGTTCTCAATCAGAGGCAATTCCCGCCCCCCCCCACCCCCGCCCAGGGACATTTGGCAAAGTCTGGAGGCATTTTCAGGGAGGGGTTGCTAGTGGGTAGAGGCCAAGGATGTTCCTAAACATCCTATAACGCACAGGACAGCACCCCCTCGGCAAAGGTGTCAACATGGGCTGAGGTTGAGAAAGCCTGCTTAGAGCAGTTACCACGATTTGTCATTACATATCCACTTATGTGGTTACTTGTTTAATGTCTGTCTCCAGCAGTGGACTCTAACCTGCCTGGGGGCATAGAATATGTCTGTTTGAGTCATCCTGATTCCCAAGTGCCTGGCACAAGTGCTCAGCAAACACTGGGTGAATAAATCATTGTGTTAGCTAAGGTCTGTCAGGCGCTGACTCTGCCAGCCAACAGCCCTAGAAGTTAAGAACTATTACCTCTTCCATTTTACAGATGAGGAAACTGAGGCTTGGTGATCAGTCTGGGTACGCGTGGGGGTCTGTTATGCAGAATATCTGGACACACATAACCAGAAGGACACACAAAAGTGACTCACTTGGACTCCCTCTCTTGGGTGTGAAAGGCCCTTGTTTAGGAAAATTCCCATCCAGGGATGGAGGACTGGCACCTTTCTGGCCCTGTGTGGGCCTTTCCTGGGAGATGACGGTGGCCTGGGCCAGGTCACTGTGCCACCCTGTGGGCATGACAGGCGTTGCAGCTTCCCCAGTGGGGAAAGGTCCTTCTCCCTCCCTGGCTCTGGGGAGCAGGTTGCCAGCGCCTCCCCGCCCACCACCCCACACTGCCTGGAAGAAACCACGTCTCCAGAAGCCAGGAGAAAGGCTGCCTGGGGAGAGCTCGGCCTGAGGCAGCCGAAAACAGAAGTGGAAAGCAGAAGCCCTGGCTCTGCCACTCACTGTGATCTTGGGAAGTCACTGCCCTTCTCTCGGCCTCAGTTTCCTCGTCTGGAAAATGGGAGTGTCAGTACAGGTCTGAGGAGGCTGGGGAGAGGGAGAGGCTCCCGGGGTCCCCGCACTCACCGAGGTGTAGGCCCGCCCGCACATGCTGCAGCAGTAGGCCTTGGCATGCTTGATGGCATGGGCCGAGAGGTGGATCTGCAGGGAGGCGGAGTCCGAGTAGGCCCGGTAGCAGTTGGGACACTTGTAGGGCTTGTCCTTGTTGTGCTGGCGCTGGTGAGACTGCGGGGAGCACAGCAGGGGTCGGGAGCTGGCTGGACTCCCCCAGCCCCACCCCCTCCTTAGGCTCCCCTGGGGAGGAGGGGCTGTGCACCTGGCAGAGGCAGGCCGGCACTCACCTGGAGGTTGGAGAGCTGAGTGAAAGCCTTTTCGCAGCCAGGATGTGGGCACTTGTAGGGTCTGTCGCCTGTGTGGATTCTGCAACAGGCAGCCCAGTGAGGTGGCATCCCTGACAGGTCCCCCAGGCCAGCTCCAGCCCCCAAGCCCTCGGCTAGCCTGCACACCCCTCTGGCCCCCAAGCCTCCCAGGCTCCCCGCTCCACACACTCTCCCCAGAGTGAGCCCCAGGCAAGAGCTGGGTCTTCAAAGGCTACCCGCGTCCTTTCTTCTCTGGCCTCCCACAGCCATTCTGTGACCAGAGCCTCCACGCTCCCCACAGGGCCCCGCTGAACCCGGCCCTCCACCAGCACCCACTCAGACAGCCTGCCCAGGCCCCCGGTTAATCATGGCAGTCTTGCTTTGATGGCATTCTGCCCCTCTTCTAAAAAAGCCACCTGCAGGCCACCCACTGAAAAGGGCAGATTCACAGCTTTGCCAGGACCTTCGCTGCCCACCCTGCCTCTTTCTCTCAGGAGACATCACCCTCTAATTGGACCCCCATTTCTATTTCCTGCCTTTTCCCCACATGGCTACCTGGTCACCCCAGCTACTGAGAGAATGCAGGACAGGGTGGCCCTGAAAGTCAGCCTCTGTGTCCTTCCTGTGAGCCCCTTTTTGTCCTCACACTGGCTCTACCATTTACTAGCTCGGTGACCTTGGTCAAATCACTGAGCCTCGGTTTCCTCATCTGCAAAATGGATATAAAAATACAGTCCCTACTTCGCTGGGCTTTGTGAAGATTCCATTAGATAATATGTGGAAGGGGCTTAGCCAAGTATTGGCACAGAGTCAGGGCTCCATCACCACTTGCCAGTATTACTATTATTCATTCATTTAACAATTGTTATATCAGGCACCCGTGTGCCAGGCACCACCCTGGGTGCTTGGAACATATCTGTGAACAAAACAGAAAAAACCCACTGCCTTGTGGAAACAATGAGCATGAAATAAGTAAGTAAAGTGCATGTAGAAGGTAATAAGTGCTGTGAGAAGAAGCAGAGCAGGTGAGGGGGGTCGTGAGTGCATGGGGAGGGTACAATGTTAAATAGGGTGGTCAGGGTCCTCACTGAGAAGGAGACTTGGGAGCAGTGACTTGCAGGCTGATGGCCGGGCTTTCTGTTGGCTGTTGCGGCTTGTGCTGGTCCAGCAGCCAGGTGAGGATGGAGGAGGACCGGGATGGGGTGTGGAAACAGGGCTGGGGAGCGAGGCGCACACACCGGGACGGGAGGCCCTCCCTGCTCTCCTAGGCTTGTCTTCAGTCACCTGCTCTGGCAAACCCTGTGCCAAGCAGGTAGGTAATGAAATGCAGACTGGACCTGAAACTCTTTTGCCTAAGCTGCCGATCAGCATTAGGTGGAGGGAGAATCCAGCTCTGACCACCCGGTCTGGCTCCTTCCCTAAAGCCACGGCCGGCCCTGGGTTTGCTCCGCCCATCAACAGACTCGTCAGACAAACTAAGGTCCCCCAGGCCAGGCCCCGTGCTGGCCAGGCTGGAATAAAGAACACTCCCTGCCGTCAGTAAGCCCACGACCTTGACTGCCCACTATGAACAGTGACAGTTTGAATTCCCTAGTGTGCCATTCGAAGCCCTTCACGTGTGGTTCGGCCTCACCTCTCTACTCCTGCACCCTGCGTCCTGGTCAGAGGACCATTTCTCATCTGGCAACCACGGCTGATTGATGATTCTGCCCGCCACCCCTGTGCCCTGGCTGCATCCTCAGCAGCGAGGCGGCCCCTCCTCTGTCTCCTCTACTAGACGGGGAACCCCAAAGGCAGGGACAGCTCATCTCAGGCTGCACGGAGACAGTCCAGGTGGAAATGGGCTGGCCCAGTTCTGAGGACCCCTATTCTACCTGCACATTTGAGGGTGTAACGTGTTTGGGGACATTATCCCAGGCTACTGCACCCCATTTCTACAACAGAAGGACCTTAAGGGTCATCTGGACCGGCTCCACCTGCCGCCAGAATCCCTCCATTTCGTCCCATCCTCATTCCCCTCCAGAGCTGTGGAACTCGGTGGCAGAGGGGACCGAGGGACCCCAGGACATGTGCTGATTTTGTTTTAAATTCCACAACACCCACCCCAGAATCCTCGCTTCCCACTGCTGCCCAAGTCATGCCTCTTCCCTGCCCCAAGGCTCCAGGCCCACCACCTCCCTCTACGCCCCCCGCCCCAGCATTCCAAGTCCCTTCCTACCTTCCTTCTGGTATCCAGGCTGATCCTCTTCCAGGCACACTTTTCCCCCAGCTAACGCCTAGCTAAAACCCAGACTCCTGTTCTCAGTATAAAAGCCCCTTGATCGTGGCAGCCTTTCCTGACCCTCCAGACTAGACCTGGCCCCTGCAGCCCACCCCTGAGCAGAAGTCTGTGTGTGGGCACGTATTTTGTCAATGTCTGGTCACTGTTTTCTAAGCTGCCTCCCTCCTTGAGAGCAAGATGCCCTTGGTCTCGTTCACCACCATCATCCCAGGGCCTGGCACAGGCTCAGCAGAGAGGACTCTGTACATAGGAAGGTGAGTTCTTTCCTCCTGAAGTCAGTTACTGACAATAGTAATATGTTCCACATAATCAACAACACCCATTCCTCAAGGGTATTTCACAAGTGTTTGTTGACTGACCGATGGATGGTTCTACAGGGACATCAGGCCCTACCTCAGGACCTTGCTCCTCTGGCCTCCTCCCCAAGTGCCACAGCTGCCCAGCCTCCTTCTTGGACTCCCGGCCTCAGCCTCTCCCTTCCACCACAGCAGCAGCGCAGGGACCTGACCTTGTCATGGTCTCCCCGACTGTCTCCCCCTTCTCCAGGACAGAATCCAAATCCACACCCCCCAGCCAGTCTCTGAGCCTTTGCTCGTGCCGTTCCTCCTGCTGGGAACACCATTCCCATCTCTCATGAGAGAGGGCTATGGACCCTTCAACCCTCGACTCCGATGATCCTCCCCAACCTCCATTACATACCTCCCCATTTCACGGAAGTTTTCACATCCACCAGCCTCCCGGTGCATGGTGGGAGCTCCTTTGGCCCAGAGCCAGCCTCTGACCACTGATCTGTCATTATGCATGGCAGCCAACACTGGGCCTCAGAAGGGCTTCAGGGAGCAAAGTTTCCCCCTGATAACTGGCCCCTGAGCTCTTCACCCCTGAATTTCAAGTCAAGGCCAAGCCCTCAATCCCAACATCAGAGTCCTCTCTTTGCAGGGCATCTCCCCACTAGGCGGGCACCCAGGCCTGACTCCCACATCTGTAGTGATGGGGAGCTCACCACCAACTCCAGGCGCAGGGAAGCTGAGCTGAAATCAGGGCCCCTGGGCTGCTCCTTCACCCCCACTGTCCCAGCCCCACCCCGGGGCCCCGAAGACTAGCCCTGCTCTCCTGCCTGGACCTCGCTCCCACCTGAGTTTCTTCTGCAGCCAACATCCCCAGCCCCCTCCCTCCTCCTCCTCCAAGGCGGGGTTGCTCCTCGGCGCTTGGGCTCACATCTCGCTTCTGCCTCCTCTTAGTGGTGTGGCCTTGGCCGAGCAACTGTGCCTCCTGAGCCCCAGTTTCCTCACCTCTAAAACAGGGGCTCTAAAATAAAACCTCTAAATAAGGATAATAATAAGGACCGTAAGGACTGTAACTTACTGAAAGGGCGTTCCTAAGACAGTTTCACAGTGTTAGTTTTGTTTTGTTTTGGTTTTTTTTGGCCGCAAAGCACGGCTCGCGGGATCTTAATTTCCCGACCAGAGATTGAACCCGCACCCTCAGTAGTGAAAGCGCGGAGTCCTGACCACTGAACCGCCAGGGAAGTCCCCCCAGTGTTAGTTTTTAATACACTCATGTCTCTTTAAGACAAACAATTTATGAAAAACACAAAGGGGGAATTTATTCAATGTTTAAATAAAATTATCGAGGATTCATTAGTTGTCATTTATCCTTTATTTTCCAGGTAATAAGCGGCACGTTATATTGAATGGCTTCAGTCCCACTGTGCTTTGTAACTAAAACGATGGTAGATACAGTGACAGTGGACCTTCCTCGAGATGGCTGCCTCTCCGTGGCACTTTTCAGATTTGTTATTTCCGATTTGTAAGGACTTTATGGACACCTCATATGTAAACACCTTATGCAGGGCTGGGCACTTAGGAGCTCTCTGACAAGGAACAGTTGTTGCTAGGATGTTATCACCATCACTGTCATCACACTTGAGAAAACCTACCCCTGCCACAATTATCACCACACATGTACACAACATCGCACAGCCAGGAGAAGGAAAACACAGGCAAAAACCACCCTGCAGCCTGAATAAACAAACAAATCCAGGGTCACTTTGTCTAACATACGTTCCCCAAACAGGTAAAACGTTGAGCCCTTTCTTACACCTTACTAACTCCTTCATAAAACAGGGTTATCCCCTGACTTCGGCCTCGTGATATCTACAGATGTATGATCTTATCCAGATGCTAACTGCACGAGACTACTGCTGTTATCTCTACCGTGAACAGACTCACTACAAATTCCTGTTAATTTTCCCCTTAAATACATGTATTTATAATTTACAGGGCCGATCCTTCTGAAGTCTGGATTTCTGCAAGCACTTTGCAAGTCACCTGCTTTTCTTGTCTTGTTGCCTTCCGTTCATAGACAGAGGTCCCAACCAAGATGCTCCAGGACTGCCAGCGCCGTTCAATTACATGAACCGTCACATGCTCCCAGGCACATCTGTCTCAACTCCCAGGCGGGATCCTGCTCAACCTGCTTCTAGCTCTATTGTTATTACTTGACCGGGGCTGGTGCTATTTTGACATGACCTTCTTTTACCCCCTTTATTATTGGCATAACGTTGAGAAGATGGATTTGATTATATGCCCTGTCTGGTTCTCTATCAAGGGGCAAAGAACAGGAGTCTCTGTGGAATACGGGAGAAAAGCAACCTGGAATCTGGTTGCTTCTTTATGTTTAGCTTCTTTTGCTTTGTTTGTCTTAAGGATTCTGGGACTTGCGGGCACTAGGCACACTAACTTCTTTGTCACTGGGTTAGGACACGCTGGTTTAATTATATACGCCACTGCATAATGACTAATAATTTGTCTCTAAATGTTGATAGGACCCTCTTATGTTGCTTGTTTGGTTTCCAACCACTATGAACTCAAATCACTCAAAAGAAAAAAATAGAGGGAGAAAAAAATTGTGCCCTCAGGAACAGAGAGCAATCCCTGAACAAGGAACATTCTGACAAAACACTCTCCCCTTGGGCTTCCCTGGTGGTGCAGTGGTTAGGAATCCGCCTGCCAATGCAGGGGACACGGGTTCAAGCCCTAGCCCGGGAAGATCCCACATGCCTCGCAGCAACTAAGCCTGTGCGCCACAACTACTGAGCACGTGTGCCACAACTACTGAAGCCTGCACGCCTAGACCCCGTGCTCTGCAACAAGAGAAGCCCCGCTTGCTGCAACTAGAGAAAGCCCGCACACAGCAATGAAGATCCAACACAGCCAAAAATAATACATAAATTAAATAAATAAATTTAAACACACTCTCCCCTCAAGGGCCTGTTAATTTTTTGTTGCTTGTTTGGTCATGGTCTTAAAAAATATTTTCAAACAAATGTCTACTTCTGAAAACCCTGGGATTCTTACTAATTATTACTTGCTAGTGTGTTTATTTCCTACCAGACTGATGCTCCTGTTCTGCCTACTCTACCAACTTGGTGCTATAGCCTTTCTCAAACCCAGGCCCCACCTTCAGAATAATAAAATATCAAGGAAACTTTCACACCCAGATGTGCTTGGAGTTTCCAGCTGGCCACTGGGCAACACCAAAGATTTGCTGCCCCGCTTTATAAAAGCTCCCAGTGAGGGCATGTTTTGTATTCTCCACATCTGAATTAGCCAAACACTACAATGAGAGCCGGCCTATGAAGTGTCTAGCATAAGAAAGTTGGCAGATCAAAAGAAAAGAAGCTCAATCTCCCTGAGTTAATTTTATGTGTGTGTATATATGTAATTACATATAATTCACATAAATATAATATATAGTAATATCATAATATAATATATAATTGCATATAATATATATATGTGTACTTTTTAAGATGGAGGGAAAAAACCCTAACAACTTGTTTTCATGTACAGAGACTAGTACCATTAGCATCCACAGAGAAATGTCTTTAAAAAGATTTTTTTTCTAGATTTAACTATGCTTTTTAGTGCCAATCATAACACATGCTTTATGAGATCAATTCAAAGACCGTGACGACGTGTCAACGCCCCTGCTGCCTATAATATGCTCTGAATCTGAACAACTGATCATACATTATACCTTAATAGAGGCCTCTATTCTCCTCCATTCTGATACTGTTGGTTATATAGTAAATGGACCAGAGTCATTTAGTCTTCTCAACAGGTCTGGTTCCCTCCCTCACACTTGCCTCAAGGCCTGTGCTTCAGGTCAGAGATTGAGTCTTCTGAAAGAAACATCAAGAGATGACGGCCTCAGTAGAGAACTGTACCAGGGCACTCGGCTCTTTACACTTTGGGAAGAGACATGGGGCACAAGCTTCCAAGATGACCCATCACCATGACCAGACACTGCGCAAGGCCAAAGCAGGAACCAAGTCTTTAGGACAGAAGCAGGCAACTTTGCAGAGCAGACTAACTTCCCCAAGACTGGGGAACAGGAATTATGACCTAGGACTGGATGAAAGTGATTTAATTGTGGTTAATGTTCTATTTTCTAACGGGCATGTGAGAAAACCCTTTTATTCTTTTTTCTTTGATCTATCCCTAATCTTCAATTTAGGAGGCTATATTTGAACAAACTGGAATAGGACATTCCTTAGATGGTGTCTTGCTCCAGCTAACCCTTTAGAATTTGAGGGGGTGGGGCACGGCAGGAGGACTATACAGATTTAACATAGACATAAACTAATGAATTATCAAGGAAATTTAAAAATCATGGTCCTATTGAAAAAACACTATTGGCCTTGTCGACAAAACTACTCAGAACAATTGCTAAAAAATATTCAAAGTGCCTTTACTGAGACCTTTTCCTTTTTTATGACCATTAGTTTCTGTAAATAGGTTCACTAAGAATCTGTCCTCCTTCCTAACAGGATATAATTGGGTAAATCAAATCTGTAACCATGACCATGCCAGAAATGTCACATTTAACGACAAATTTGATTTAATTAGGCATGACAAGCCTGATAGGAAGAAACAAGGCCTGTACTTTGTAAGTGGGAATGTAGCCTCCCCAGGCTTCCAGGAAACTGAACTGAATCTACTCCATGGCTTGTGGAATCCTTGCCTTTAAAGGTTTTGGGAAAAGTCATTCCTGCTAGCCCAGAGACACTGACGAACTTGGGATTCTCCAAAAAGACGGTACCCTTCCCGTTACAGGTTGTATAGGCACAACCTGACAAGAGGTGAATTGGATGGATCTTAGACAGGAACTTAGATAGATCTTAGATTACATAATATAAGAAAATTTTTTTTCACACATACACAGATTAAAATTATGACCTGGGGGCTTTACAAAATCTCCTGAAAGAAGTTAACTCTCAGACCCTGGGGTCGCATGCTCTAATTTTAGTAACCATACAACCAGGAGGACTCTGTTTATTGATCAGCACCTCATTACACACACCTATGCCCATAAAATAGCCAAACTTCAAAAAATAAATTCATGACACAATCAGAAAGTTTCTGAAACAAATCTACGTGGTCAAATCCACGCCTCAGTAGGCATGGGGACGAGAAAAGCAGACTGATGCCACCCTGCCCGCTATCCTGTCATTTGTTCCTTACTATCAAACCTAATGATCATGCCCCAAAGTCAGAGGAACAGACAAAACATCTTGCCGCCTGGGATAAAGCAAACAAAGACAATGGAGAGAAATGAATAAATAACAACACCACAAAACAAAACCTAAGGTCCCTGTGTCTAGCCTTAGTGCCCAAAATAAAGAAAACCTTGAGCGCTTTCTGTGAGTTACAGACTCCACAGCAAAAACAATTTTATCCCTGCCAATGCTGATACTGGCAGACACACAGCCGTGCTTACAGATATGAGAACCATCATGTGAGAAAACTGCTGTTTCTTCCCCTCTGAAGAGATGAACTGTAATTTGGTAACCTTTACTTTATTTATTTAAATACCTATGGTACTTTTATTTGGCGAGCCAGTCTTTCTGATGTCTGTACTCGCCTGCAAAAATCTCTTTCCTTAAAGCATGTCTATCTCTGAATCCCCCGTTCATGCTTTCGACTAGACTGTACACCCTAAGAGGGCAGGAATCTGTGTCTGTTTTGTTCAATGCTGTATCCCCAGCACCTAGGGGCGTGTCTGGCATACATATTTACAATTCACCTCTTGTACATACTTGTTAAATGGATGAATCATATGCCCTGTAAAAGCCAGTTCTATTTATTCCACAAATATTAAACATATGCCTCAATGTTTATTATGTGACACCCACTGGGGATGTGGAAACGGAGGAGACCAAGCCCTCGCCTTCAAGAACCCTCAATATATTGGGGGTGGTGGGCAAATAACCAGGCAAGTAGAAGACAGTCTACCCCTGCTGGGATGGGGAAGCCCAGGGCCTGTGGAACCAGCTCAGGGGGGCCAGGGAGGACTTCCTGGAGGAAGCTTTATTGAGAGATGGATAGGAGAGGGTCAGAAAAACAGGATAAAAGAGGGGGAGGGTGTTTCAGGTAAAGGACACAGCACCTGCAAAGACCTTACAGGTGAGCAACAGTGGGAAGTGATGTCCACAAAGACCATATCATAAAAGGCCTCAAATGACAAGCAAAACTGTTTGGTCTTGACCCTGAGGGCAACGGACACCTAGAGAAGGTCCTTGTCCCTCCTTGCACCAGGTCCATGCACCAGGTGCAGGTGCTGAGCTAAAACTGGCTGCATCGGGGCAGCACGAGGCTGGCCACTCACCTGGTATGCTGTTGGAGGTGGGAGAGCTGTCGGAAGGACTTATCACAGTAGGAGCAGTGGTAGGGCTTGACGCCCAGGTGGATGCGCAGGTGCTGGGCCAGGTAGGAGGCATTGGCAAAGGATTTGGAGCAGTGCGGGCACTTGTGGGGCTTGGCCTCTGTGTGCGACTTGGAGTGGATCTGCATCTCAGACTTGGTGAAAAAGGTCAGCGGGCATACCTTACACCTGTGGGCAAGAGGCAGGTTCATACCGGGAAGATTCTCGCCCCCACCCCCGGCCCCGTGCCTGGACATCTCACAGGAGACCTTCTACGTCAGAGAGACCTTGCACCAGGGACAGAGCTCTCCTGGGAGGGTCCAGGGGGCACGGGCAGGCCCCCAGCCTGGGCACCCTTCAATCCCGAGGCCAAAGCTCCTCCCCCTGGAGACAGATTTACAGCAGGCTGGGGAGCAGGCTTACACCTCACAGGGAAGAGC